TAGTAGTAGTAGCAGTAGTAGTAGTAGCAGCAGCAGCAGGAGTAGTAGTAGTAGTAGTAGTAGTAGTAGTAGTAATAGTAGTAGTAGTAGTAGCAGCAGCAGCAGCAGCAGCAGCAGCAGCAGCAGTAGTAGTAGTAGTAGTAGTAGTAGTAGTAGGGGTGCACATGGTCTTCGTGTCGCTACAAACCTCACCTTCGTGTACTCTTCTTTTGTATCAGGCCGAATAGAACTCCTACAAGGGGAATTACGAAAACCGTAGTTCCAAACCTGGACTTCGTGCCTTTCGCGCCAATGCCTACCTTCGTGCATTATTCGCTGTAGAGGCTGTAGATTGGATTCGCATTAGAAGGTGAACAAAAACGGCAGTTTTACACCTGTCCTTCGTGTCGACGTCGGATTTGGAGCAACCGCCACTGCCAGCCGCCTCATTTCGGCACAACCCTCTAAAGGATCGTGGGCCTGGCCCTCCGACGCGCGACCGGCGCGCACTTCACTAGGATCGTGGCCCTGGTCCAATTGGGAGCGCTGCCGAAGGCCCACCGACGTCCAATTCTGGCACGCCGCTCACGAGGATCGTGTCCTGGCCCACCTGGGATCGCTGCCGACGGCCCACCGATGATAAATATCGGCGCACCCCTCACACGGATCGTAAACCTCGCCAATCGCCGCCCGACGCTGAAGTTCGGCACAACTCTCACATGGATCGTGGCCCTGGCCCACTGTGGAGCGCTGCCGACGGCCCACCGACGCCCAATTCGGGAACACCCCTCACGAGGATCGTGGCCCTCTGGTCCACTTGAGAGTGGGTTTTCATAAGGACGTCGTTTTGCTCTTATTCGGGAGCGCATTCTGGTTTTATTCGTTTCTGGTTCGTGATGGTTAGGAGGAAGAGGAAGAGGAGGAAGAGGAGGAGGAAGAAGAGGAGGGGGAGGAGGAGGAGGAGGGGGGGGAGGAGGATGAGGAAGAGGAAAGCGAACAGGAAAAGAGGAACGCTGTTTTCTCGTCTTCCACAATGGGCTCGCGAACCTCACCTTCGTGTACTATTGGCTCTATAGCCCCTGTATTGTTTTCTTACGAGCGAACGGCGAAATTGTGGGTTTCCGAACCCCATCTTCGTGTACTATTAGAATCAGTGGGCTTCCGAACCTCATCTTCGCGTACGATTGGGTCTATAACCCCTGTATTGTTTCCTATCAACGAATGGCGAAATTGTGGGTTTCCGAATTTCCGCTTCGTGTACGATTAATCCGACTATTCTATGTTATTCTATTTGGATTTATATCACTGTGTAGAACCCGAACCCGAACCCGAACCCTTACCCATTCATTCTTAGTAGACACGAAGGTGAAGTTTGGCCCTAGTAGTAGTAGTAGTAGTAGTAGTTTTCGTCTGTTCTTTCTTCTTGGTATTAGTATTCTTCTTAGAATGCTTAGTAGTATGATTCTTATTGGTGTCCGTCTGCGTATAGTATTCTTTTTTCTGCATCATCATCATCATCATCATCATCGTCATCATCATCATCAGCAACATCATCATCATCATCATCATCATCATCAGCAGCAGCATCATCATCATCAGCATCATCATCATCATCAGCAGCATCATCATCATCAGCATCATCATCAGCGTCATCGTGATCGTCATCGTCATCATCATCATCAACATCATCAGCATCATCATCATCAGCAGCATCATCAGCATCATCATCAGCATCATGATCGTCATCATCATCATCATCATCTCATCATCAGCAACATCATCATCAGCATCATCATCATCATCAGCATCATGATCATCATCATCATCATCACCATCATCATCATCATCATCAGCATCATCAGCATCATCATCATCAGCATCAGCATCAGCATCATCATCGTCGTCATCATCATCATCAGCAACATCATCATCATCAGCATCATCATCATCATCAGCATCATCACCATCAGCATCATCATCAGCATCATCATCATCATCAGCATCAGCATCAGCATCAGCATCATCATCATCAGCAGCATCATCATCAGCATCATCATCATCATCAGCAGCATCAGCATCAGCATCATCATCAGCATCGTCAGCATCATCATCATCAGCATCATCATCATCGTCATCAGCATCAACAGCATCATCAACAGCATCAGCAGCAGCATCATCATCATCAGCATCATCATCATCATCAGCAGCATCATCATCATCAGCATCATCATCAACGTCATCGTGATCGTCATCGTCATCATCATCATCAACATCATCAGCATCATCATCAGCATCATCAGCATCAGCATCATCATCAGCAGCATTATCAGCAGCATCATCATCAATATCATCATCATCGTCATCATCAGCATCAGCAGCATCATCATCGGCATCATCATCATCAGCAGCATCATCAACATCATCATCAGCATCATCATCATCAGCATACTCATAATCATTATCAGCATCATCATCATCATCATCATCATCATCATCATAATCAACATCATTACCATCATCATTATCAGCATCATCATCATCATCATCATCATCATCATCATCATCATCATCATCATCATCATCATCATACGCCTCCTCCTCCTCCTCCTCCTCCTCTTCCGCTTCCTCCTCCTCCTCTTCCGCCTCCGCCACAGCCTCCTCTTCCTCCTCCTCCTCCTCCTCCTCATCTTCCTCCTCCTCCTCCTCCTCCTCCTCCCCCTCGTCATCCTCTTTATCTTCCTCGTATGCACCATCAGCAGCATCAGCATCATCCGAATCATCATCAACTTCATCAGCATCATCAGCATCATCAGCATCATCATCATCATCATCAGCAGCAGCATCATCAGCATCATAATCATCAGCATCATCATCAGCATCAGCATCAGCATCATCATCATCATCATCAGCAGCATCATCATCATCGTCATCATCATCATCAGCATCATCATCATCAGCATCAGTATCATCATCAGCATCAGTATTAGCATCAGCATCACAATCAGCATCATCATCATCGTCATCATCATCACCGTGATCATCATCATCGTCATCATCATCATCGTCATCATCATCATCCGCATCGCCGCAGTTGTCATCGCCGTAGTCAACATCATCACCACCATCAGCAGAATCATCACCATCGTCACCGCCACCACAATCACCATCATCGTCGACAGCTCGTCCGCCGCACCCTCAATATCAGCATTAGCTGCAACACCAGCATTAGCAACATCATCGCCATCAGCAGCAGCAGCAACAGCAGCAGCATCAGCATCAGCATCAGCACCTGCGTCAGAACCAGCATCATCATCACCATCATCATCATCAGCAGCAGCACCGTAATCAGCGACATCCTCATCATCACCATAACCAGCATCCTCTACATCATCACCACCATCATCATCACCACCAGCACTATCGTCATCATCGCCACCGTCGTCACCATCATTATCAACACCACCATCATGATCAACATTACCATCATCAGCATCATCATCATCATCATCACCATCACCATCACCTTCATCATCATCATCATCATCATCATCATCATCATCATCATCATCATCAGCATCATGATCATCATCATCATCCCATCCTCTTCCTTCTCGTCCTCCTCCTCCTCCTCCTCCCCCTCCCCCTCCTTGGGCTGTGGCGTATGTGCCTCACCCCCCCCCCCCCCCGGGTAGTCTTCTCACGAGGAGCTTTAGAGAAAAGCATGACCTGACCTGACCTCCACTCCTTTCCGCTCCTCCTCGCTCTCCTCCTCCTCCTCCTCTCCTCCTCCTCATCCCCTCTCCTCTATTCTACCCCCTCCTCCCCACCCCCCATCCCTCATCCCTCCTCCTCCCCCTCCTCTGCACCAGCAGGCAGCATCATCCCCTTCCGAAATCATCAGACGCTATCGCATCACCACCTATCATCACCGCATTCATGATCACAACAGCATCACCATCACCATCACCATCACCATCATCATCATCATCATCATCATCACATCATCATCAGCATCATCATCCTATCATCATATCATCATCAGCATATCACAATCATCATAATCATCATCATCATCCCCTCATCATCATCATCATCATCATCATCATCATCATCATCATCATCATCATCATCATAATCCTCCTCATCATCATCATCCTCCTCCTCATCATCATCATCATCATCATCACCACCACCATCATCATCATCATCATCAGTATCATCATCATCATCATCAGCATCATCATCATCATCATCATCATCATCGACGCCGCTGTCATCGCCGTAGTCATCATCATCATCACCATCAGCATAATCATCACCATCGTCACCGCCACCACAATCACCATCATCGTCGACAGCTCGTCCGCCGCACCCTCAATATCAGCATTAGCTGCAACACCAGCATCAGCACCATCATCGCCATCAGCAGCAGCAGCATCAGCATCAGCATCAGCACCTGCACCTGCATCACAATCATTAACAGCATCATCAATCTCGTCATCGTCATCGCCATCACCACCACCACCCATCATCGTCATCGTCATCATCCAAACCATCATCAATAGCGTCAACCGCACCGCCAGCATCAGCATCATAAGCATCAACATTAGCATCATCATCATCATCACCACCATCATCACCATCCTCGTCATCATTATCATCGTCAGCCAAATCGTCCTCGTCGTCAGCAGCAGCAGCGTTACCATCGCCATCATCATCATCGCCACCACCACAGCGCTATTTGCCCGAACATCGATAGATGCTAACCGGTTGAACAGTATGTTGCCGTGTCTCACTATAGTTCCTTGGCATCCATTCCCAATGGTCAGCGCTCACTGATGACATGGCTCAATTACCCTGGCGACGTACCCAACCCCTGCGCAATGCGGGGCATGAGTAGCTTGGGAGACGTTATACGGAGGTGATGACGTGACATGGGCGCATATACTTCTGCGAGCGGCATTCGTGAGGCTCGCAGCCCCCCAAGGATTGCAATGTCCCGCTCAGATCTGCCTGGTGCCTCGCTCCGCTGGACCCACCAGCAGCCCTCGAAAGTGCTGACAATTTCGCAGATCGCAGCCCCCCAGGGACGGCGAGGTCCCCCTCGGGTCCGCGCGGTGCCTCACTCCGCAGGACCCACCAGCAACCCTCGAAAGTGGCGGACTGTTCGCAGATCGCAGCCCCCCAGGGAGCGGCGAGTGTCCCGCTCCAGATCCGCGCGGTGCCTCACTCCGCAGGACCCACCAGCAGCCCTCGAAAGTGCGACAATTCGCAGATCCCTCGCAGCCCCAGAGACGGCGAGGTCCCGCTCAGATCCGTGGTTGCCGCACTCCGCAGAACCCACCAAGCAGCCCTCGAAAAGTGGCGACAGTTCGCAGATCGCAGCCCATCAAGACGGCAGGGTCTCGCTCAGATCTGCACGGTGCCTCACTCCACTGGACCCACCAGCAGCCCTCGAAAGTGCCGACAGCTTCGCAGATCGCAGCCCCCCAGGGACGGCGAGGTCCCGCTCAGATCCGCGCGGTGCCTCACTCCGCAGGACCCACCCACCAGCAGCCCTCGAAAGTGGCGACAATTTCGCAGGTCGCAGCCCCTGAGGAGGGACGGGGAGGTCCCGCTCAGATCCGCGCGGTGCCTCACTCCGCAGGACCCACCAGCAGCCCTCGAAAGTGGCGACAGCTTCGCAGATCGCAGCCCCCCAGGGACGGCGAGGTCCCGCTCAGATCCGCGCGGTGCCTCACTCCGCAGGACCCACAGGCAGCCCTCGAAAGTGGCGACAGTTTCGCGGATCGCAGCCCCCCAGGGACGGCGAGGTCCCGCTCAGATCCGCGCGGTGCCTCACTCCGCAGGACCCACCAGCAGCCCTCGAAAGTGGCGACACTTTCGCAGATCGCAGCCCCCCCGGGGACGGCGAGGTCCCGCTCAGATCCGCGCGGTGCCTCACTCCGCAGGACCCACCAGCAGCCCTCGAACAGTGGCGACAGTTCGCAGATCGCAGCCCCCAGGGACGGCGAGGTCCGCTCAGATCCCCGCGGTGCTCACTCCGCAGGACCCACCAGCAGCCTCGAAAGTGGCGACAGTTTCGCAGATCGCAGCCCCCCAGGGACGGCGAGGTCCCGCTCAGATCTGCGCGGTGCCTCACTCCGCTGGGACCCACCAGCAGCCCTCGAAAGTGGCGACAGTTTCACAGATCGCAGCCCCCCAGGGACGGCGAGGTCCTGTTTGGATCCGCGGTGAGTACCCTCTCTGCTGGCCTCCCCAGCAGCCCTCGAAAGTGGCGACAGTTTCACAGATCGCAGCCCCCCAGGGATGGCGAGGTCCTGTTTGGATTCGCGGTGAGTGCCCTCTCTGCTGGCCTCCCCAGCAGCCCTCGAAAGTGGCTACAATTTCACAGATCGCAGCCCCCCAGGGATGGCGAGGTCCTGTTTGGATCCGCGGTGAGTACCCTCTCTGCTGGCCTCCCCAGCAGCCCGTCGAAAGTGGCGACAGTTTCACAGGTCGCAGCCCCCCAGGGATGGCGAGGTCCTGTTTGGATCCGCGGTGAGTACCCTCTCTGCTGGCCTCCCCAGCAGGCCGTCGAAAGTGGCGACAGTTTCACAGGTCGCAGCCCCCAGGGATGGCGAGGTCCTGTTTGGATCCGCGGTGAGTACCCTCTCTGCTGGCCTCCCCAGCAGCCCTCGAAAGTGGCGACAATTTCACAGATCGCAGCCCCCCAGGGATGGCGAGGTCCTTGTTGGATCCGCGGTGAGTACCCTCTCTGCTGGCCTCCCCAGCAGCCCTCGAAAGTGGCGACAGTTTCACAGATCGCAGCCCCCCAGAGAAGGCAAGGGCCACTTTGGATCTGCTGGCCTCGCCAGCAGCCCTCGAAACTGGCGGCAGTTTCACAAATCGCAGCCACCCAGGGAGGGAGAGGTCTCGCTCAAATCTGCGCGGTGCCTCAACCCACACGGCGAGAGGAGACAAGAGGGAGGCGGGAGGCGGGAGGCGGGAGGAGCAAGACGCGACCACGGTGCTCTATTCAAAACGAATACCCAACCAAGGAGGGTGGGAAAAAAGTTATTCTGCTCAGCAAAGGGTAACGAATAAATATGGTAGTGGGCGCACACGTGATGAGGGCGCGCGGGCCTTTTTACGAATCACTCCCCGCCCAAACAGCTGCGGGTCACGCGACGAGTCACGCGACGACCAACAGTTCAGCGGCAGCAAGGCGGCGGCGGCGACAAGCGCGGGCAGGGAAGGATACGCAGGCCCGACATCAACTCCTTTCGGAGTTGCCAGGCTTCGCACAATCCCTGGGCACATTGGCCCCCCCGGCGCCGACCCCGAAAAAAATGTTACGGCACACGTGGTGTGATCGAAGCTACTCCTGGCAATTCCTTGAAGCGGGCCGAAACGGACTGACGCACCCCACAAGTAATACAGCGCGCCAGCTCACTGCAACGTTTTTGGTCAGAACCTTTGTCTTGATCTTCTAAAACATGTAGCCGCCAAACAGCATGCGGCGGAGCCGAAAATTGCCGTGGTCGATAATCCTCCCGTCACGAGGCAACGGTTAAACCGCACGTTTTTGTTTGCGTGAACGGCAGTTCCAAATGGCATGTGATATCACTGCTTGCCTTTTGATAATTCCTTTTTGCCCTTCAGGGGAAAGTTGAACAAAGTACTGTGTTCCTTCATACTCCACCATTGCCATTACTCAAAGTACACATGTTACACCCACCATCCAGTACCAGCATAGCACTGCTGTATCGTGTCCCACTTTCTAGTTTCATCATCATCATCATCATCATCATCATCATCATCATCATCATCATCATATGCCCTATGGACGTTGCGGCCTATCTCTCTCATCGCGGCTGACGCAACGGAAGCCGCAGCAACCGATGGCCCTTCCACTGGGAAGGATTCGCCGCCGACACGCATATCCGTCGCTCGCCTTGCCTTGGGACGCGGCGGCGTGCCCCCACCGCCACCGAGGGCGAGCCTCTTTGCTAGGGATGCCCGGCGAGCAGGTGGAGGCGGTGGTGCAGGCAAAGGACGACTGCCAGTGAGCCAGCTTTCTATCCCGACTCGTTTCTCGACGGTCCCAGGCCTTGCAAGGGCCCCTGGAAGCCGAACACGGCCAAAGCCCGTCCGCCGTGCTCTCCCCATAACGAGAGGAGTAGTGAGGCTCCGGGCTGCGGACAGACCGCACCGCCAGGTGGTCACGGCTGGCCTTAGCAGACCCGCCGAGGAATCCCAAGCTGGCCTCAACAGGCCCCCTGAGTAGTCCGCGTCGGTCTCAACACCTCAACCCTGGGGCGCCGCCAGAGGCGGCGCCGGGCTGTTAAGATCGCCCAGGACTACTCGGGGGGCGTCTTGAGGGGACTACTCGGGGGGCGTCTTGAGGCCAGCCAGGACTACTCGGGGGGGCCTTTTGACGCCAGC